ATTATGCCTGAGAGTATCTCTGAAGCCTAGATGAGGCCTATATTCCACATCCTCCAGCGAAAGTTTCCTGAGAAATTCATGATTCTCTTCCATCGGGCACACGTGCAGACACTGAATCCATGGGGTTATAAGGAGAATATCCTGAGCCACAGACACCCCATCCCACCATAACTTGCCCTGGACAAATGTCCACTTTCAGAGAAAAAAAGAACCTTCTCTTCCACCTCTGTCCACTGTATCCCTCTCAGTACTAAACACCCATCAGGGGATTCCCAGGAGGAACTGCATTCTCCAGGAACTATGGCTCTAGCATTCTGAACCTGCAACTCCTGCACTCCCTTATCCACGACATAGTCCTGCTGGTACTGACCTTGATCATCTGCCTGAGGTATTGTATGACAGGTTTCTCAAGATAAAGTTACTCTTTTGTCCTCCTTTTCATACTGAGCTCTTTGGAAGGAAGTCACTATACACAACGCACATTTAGAGTAAGGAGTTAGGATCAACTCCTTGAGGGCAAAGTATCTATGTAAATTAATATTCTTCTTCGTGTAGATTTTTCTCTTCTCTGTTTGCTTATTTCATACAATCATTTTTTATATTGGTGTAAATCATTTGTTTTAAATCTCTGTTCCCACAGCACCTCTCACAGTCTGGCAGTTAGTAGAATGACAATGTAATGGACTGACTTCGGTCCCTCCAAATTTCATACATTGAAGCCCTAACTTCTAATGCCACAGGGGCCAGGGATTTAGTTCAGTGGCACGGCGCCTGCCTCACAAGCACAAGGTGCTGAGTTCAATCCCTGGTACCTGAAAAGAAGAAGGAGGAGGAGGAGGAGGAGGAGGAGAAAAACACTTCTAGTGCCACAGAATATAGCTGTGTTTGGAGACAGGACCTTTCAATAGTTAATCAACGTTAAAAGATGTCATAATAAGAAACAACCTGTATTATGTACCAGTACCAACACCCCAAGGTGACTGTAAAATGTATGTACTGCAAACATGTACAAATGAAATAAAACCCAAAAAAAGGAGGTCAGAAGGGTAGATTTAAAGCCAATAAGGCTGTTATCCTTTTAAGAAGACAAAGAGGTACCAGGAATTCATGCACCCAAAGAAAAGCCATTTGAGGTCACAGAGCGAAAGTAGCAAACTGTAAACCAAAGGGAGAACCTCAGGCACACAAATCTTGGTCTTGCTGCCTCCAGAATAAATGTCTGCTGTTTAAACTTCAGGGGCAGTTCTATTGGAATAGAGTGGAAGCACAGGGCTCAATGTTTGTTGCACATCAGTTCAGTATAGGTTCTTGGAAGTCACCTGCTACTCCTGGGCATCTGTGGCTGTTAATCTTGATAGATACATCGACCTAATTAGATTAAGAAACACCTAGAAGGTTAGTAAAGCATATTCGTAAGTGTATGTGGGTAGGTCATGGAGATGTGGCCTTGCATACCACATGTAGTCCCTCCCATCCCTCTCTGGCACTGTTCCCCCTGCCAGAGAGGAATGAACTAAGTAAGCATCTTGGCCCTGCTATGCCCTTCCTGAATGATGTTTTTGCCCTGGAGCCAGCCAACCATGGAGTGAATCCCCTTGAAACCATGAACCAAATTAAACCTCTCCTCCTTTAAGTTATGAGTGTTGGGTATTTTGGCCCAGTAATGGGAAAGCTAATATAACATCCTAGGAAGAACAGTCCTTTGGAATACTCCTGGTCCCCCAGAGCTATGAGTCAGTCATGATACCAGGCCTTTGTGGAAATGGGTAGAGAAAAAGTCTAATGAAAACTCCTTGTAGTCATCATCTCATCACAGTCAGAGAATAAGGCACAAAAAGATCTTGAAATTGGGGGGGGGGGGTGAAAGTTGCTTGAACACTCATGTGAACATCTTCTCCTTCCTTTGGGATCTATATACCTGCCTCTATATCTACTATTTCCAGAAAACAGGAAAACAAAATCAGAAGCAGAAAAACAAATCAGAAATTGGGAGGGTTTTTGTTTTATTCCTGAACAAATCCCACGCTTATAATATGAGGTTTCGATTACATAGTCCCTGATGTTTCTTCCTGTGCTTTCAAAGAAAACAACTAACATGTGTTCCTTAGCACCTGGTACTATATTATCTTACAGAGTACTCAAGACAACCTTAACAGGTACTATTATTAGCCCTATTTTGCAGATTTGGGAATTAATATACAGAGCTCAAGTAATTGTACAATGTCACACAGCAAATTGGTGATAATGATAAGATTTGAATTCAAACAAGATGATTCCAAAGCCTGCAGTTAACACCCCTGTTCTGTTTCTTATCAGGTGAAGTAGGCCCCCCCAAGAGTCTCCTGGCATAAGGAGCACACAAAATGCTATATGGCCACCTCTGGGCATGGTGTGCAGGCCTGTGATCCCAGCCCTCAGGAGGCTGAGGCAGGGGCTACATAGTGAGTTCAAGGTCGGCCTGAATTACATAGAGACACTGTCTCAAAAAGCAAATAAAAATTAAACATTGCTTTATGACCTAAGACCTGGAAAAAGTTCAGGGTTTGTGAGCATCTAACATTTGGGATCAATCCAAAATTAATATTTGAAAAATAGTTACCTTTACCCCAAAATTGTCTCATTATCTGACTGCTGAGTTTGAATCAGGCTTATGGAGAATGCTGTTCAGTGGTTTAGTGTAAAGTTTTAAAAGGTACTATGCCAGTATTGACAGCCCAATAAATACATACACACAAACATAAAACTTTTTTTAAAAACTAAACATTTGGAAAATAGAAAATGGCTTCGTTGCATTTCTAGAACCCCAACCCCAGCAAAATCTAGAAATTGAGGAAGTCTGTGATTTTTACAAAATGTGGTTTCTCTACAAGAATGAATTGAATTCCCTAAAGAGCTGCCTTGTTCTTTGCTTGGCCAAGCATTTGCTGCAGACTTCCTTTGTGAGGTTCATTCAACAGAGTGAGGAAAAAATATGGGCCCTGAGCTAATTTTTTTAAGTTAAAAAGTTTTTTTTAAAAAAGCCCCTCCATCCATCCTTAGAATTACACTTTTCAGTGAAGTCTAGTTCCCTTTCCTGATAGATATAATCCTAATTAAAAATAAATTACATGCAGTATAGAACTTGAAATGGAAAAGATAATCCTATTACATATGAGAATATATCCTGATTTTCTTTCCCGCTAAACTGTGGGAGATACCAGATCAGGCTGAGCCCCCCATTGTCGCCGCTTTGAAAACTTTCCTAGAGCCCTAATCCGTCACGTGACGCCCGTGTCAATCTCGGTGTCTGCACGCGAGTTTCACAATGCCGGCATTAGGCTCGGTTACAGAAGCCCAGCTTTGCGGAGCCTGCAACATTTGCATTGCGAGAAAACGTGGGCCATTGTGGCTGTGTTTGTTCTCAGCATTGGGAGACAGTTGCCGGTGAAGTTGCTAAAACCCAGAGAAAGAGATTCCTTTGAGCCAACCCAAGCCTTTTGGTACGATAACAAAGCGGTTTGAGAGGCTTTTGTCCGGTGGGATCAGCTCGGGGAAGGAGAGCTCCCCCCTCACCCCAAGCCCCTGCTCCTCTCCCGTGCACTCACCCACCCTCGCCCTCGGACATTTTTTCTCCCCGGGGGTTTCGGTGGCCGCTGATGCGCTGTTTGAAACCGTGTTTCTGTACGCTGGCGGCTGCCCGCGGCGACCCGGGGCTCACTGTTCTCAAGCCTTCGCACCAGGTCGGTGCCCGGCTGGGCCCCGCGCGCCGCCGCCGGGCTCCGCGGTCCGCCCGGAGCTCCGCTCCCAGGGCTCCACGCTCCAGCGCCAGGCGCCGCCGCTGTGGTTGCCACTTCCGAGCTCCCAAGGGCCTGGCGGCGCACTAAATGCTTTGAATCCGCTGCTAGCACCTCACACCCCTCCTCCTGCCGCTTGGTTCCTCATTCCACTCTATTTCAGCCTTCAGCCTTGAGAATGGGCTTCCAGACGAAGAAGCGCCGAGAGAGAGCGAGAGAGAGGAGAGGAGAAGGGAAGGGAGGGAAGGGGAGGGGGAGGAAGAGGAAGGGGGGGGAGGAGGGAGGAAGGAAGGAAGGAAGGAAGGAAGGAAGGAAGGAAGGAAGGAAGGAAGGAAGGGAGGGAGGGAGAGAGGCACTAAGCTGAGCAGGGCTCCGGAGGCAGGGGGCCCTGGCTTGGATCCAACCCTCCCAGCGACTCTCTGCTGTGCTCGGAGCAAGTGTCTGCTCCCCAGCACTGTGCAGACAGCCTGCTCCAAGACTCCCCCCGTCCCCTCCCCCGCCCCCGCCTCCGCCGCGGGGTTTCTGCCCTGTAGTAGCTGCTCTGTGGGCCTGACTTCCCCGAGTCAGGAGCGCGGAAGCGCTGCAGCCGCTGTCCAGCAACCGAGTTCTGAACCTGTTCCCATTTGGTCAGACGGGGAAAGTTGGGCCCGAAAGTGCCAAAGGCCTAGAGCAGGCCAGGGCAGGGGTGCTGACATTGCTGGGTTCGGAAAGAAGACTGAGAGTTCTGACTGCATGTACTCCCACCCCAAGAATCTCTCTTGGGCGAGAGCCAGATATTAAACAGTCCTTCGGAAGAGGGGAAATGCAAGAAAAGATTGGGAATTGGGGGCCTGTAGAGGCGTTGGCATTCTCACGTCCCCAAGTGGCTGCAAATGTCTGGCCTGTTGCTTTTAACAGTCCCAGGATTATACAGTGGGAGTCGATGGCGAAGGGAATCTACAGGATCTGAGGAAGCCCCGATCTACCCATGTCCTTTCCATCCCAGCCTAAGAGCTGTTATTTGCTGGTGCCTGGTTTTGCATTTTCGACTATCTGGCAAAGCTGAGCACCTCCTTCATCCTCCCCCGACCCACTGCCCACTCAGCTTTCTGAGTAGTCTCACTACAGCTGCTCCTCTTCTGAAAAGACTCCAAAACACATTCCCTTTCATTTGAAATAAGGAAAACACGGATCGGACGTTGACAGCAGGACCAAATCAGCATTCAGAAGTACGTTTGCTACATGCAATCCACTTATTAAACCTATTGCCTTTTTATTATTACTTCTTGTTTTTACATCTCTTCCTTCTTGTGTATTTACATAGACTGCTCAATAAAGCCCTTCAGTAAGAATCAATAAGAATCCGTCCTGTTCCGGTTGATGTCTCTGTCCCTGGCCTTCACGGATGGGAGGGGGATATTTGTGGGCGCGGCTTAGCGCCTGGCAAGCCTGACAACCCGCCTGGCCCGGAATTTGGCAGAGCCTAAGCTCCATCCTTTGCAGGCAGATGGTTAAGTTCTCCCAGGTTCGTGCCAGGTTTCAACGTCACGCTGTGATTTTGTTCTTCTGAAACAGGACGAGCGTTGCTTCCCAGAGCGACCCTATTAGAACAGAAAGAAAATCTTCTAAATAGGCAGAACACGGCATCAGGAGGGAAAGTTCTCTAAATGCACTTTAATACAACCGGGTATTGTGTAGAATTCAGGGCCCAACACCGTTTAGCCGGAGAGTTATGGCAGTGATTGGGGATGAATAGAGAAACATAATGGATACATGTGGCGTTTGTTCATTATATTCAAGTTAGCCTAACTCCACTGTGGAAACTGTTCAACTTTCTCTCCCCTTAGCTTGTCACAGTGAAATAATACAGACATTGGGGCCTCCAGTGAGATCGCCCGCCACGCCATTCTATCTCCACTGCTAACGAGGGCTTCATAAGCCTTTGATACAGCCTGATCTTTGAAACCTTTCCAAATCTCCTCAAGCTTATGCTAAATCCTATTTGGAACTTTTTTTTCCTTGCCTGCTAGAGCCAGGACTTAAGGAAGCCATTTGGACGGTGACATGCATACTAACATATCCTAGGGCTCTTTTCTGAAAAGGAAGTGGCAGCTCTGATTACCGGGGCTCACACGAGCAAGATACAATTGCGTACACAAATTTGAATAAAATCGATTTTTCCTCATCCTTCAGGCTTTTTTATCGACAGGCTATTCCTGGCGCCGTGGGAAGCTGAGAGAGAAAAAAGAACAGAGCCTCACTCCACAGAGCAAGTTCGAAACTCTCAGAGGTGCAAAATGAAGAGGGGATGGGTGGGCGGGCGGGAGGGGGGATCCTGAGACCCTGGAGAGCTACTTTGCACTTAGTTTTAGCAGAGGGCACGGGAGTTAGGGTGCAATTAACAAAACCATAGGCTCCTTTTGCTCCCGGAGCCTTGTGCCAACGCTCTACAAGCAGAGTACTGACAGGAACGCAGAAAGGAACAGAAGGAGTTTTTAAAACAAAGAAAAGATTCCCTCGTTTTTCTTCCTTGTTTTCTCCTCTAAGCCTTTCCACATTAAAAGGATTGTCTGAGGCTGGCGGAGGAGCGACGCTAGAGCAAGGCGACCATTGGCTGCCAGGCTCGGGTGATTTGCATAGCGGCGGCTATAAAGGCGGAGGCGGCGCGCGGCGGCGCCGCTCTTGCTCAGAGAAAGGAGGGAGAGGCTCAGAGGGAGGGCGGGTCCGCGCGTCCTCAGAGCCAGCGGGAGCCGGAGCTGCAGCCCGCAGACTTCTCCCGCGCAGGGTTTGCAAAGGACTTGCTCCTGGGAATCTGGGACTCACGCCCCGACCTGCAAACCAGCCAGGACTGTCTTCTTTGGCCTTTCGGAATAGCATTCGGGGCTGGCGGCATGAGTTCTGTGAGGCGCTGGGGCATCCCTTGCCTTTTCCCCTTGCAGCTCTTCAGCCTCTGCTGGGTGCTCTCAGTGGCCCACAGCAAGACTGTTCGATACAGCACCTTTGAGGAGGATGCGCCCGGCACAGTCATTGGGACCCTGGCTGAGGACCTGCATATGAAAGTGTCGGGAGACACAAGCTTCCGCCTGATGAAGCAGTTCAACACCTCTCTGCTCCGGGTGCGTGAGGGCGACGGGCAGCTGACCGTCGGGGACGCGGGCCTTGACCGTGAACGGCTGTGCGGCCAAGCCCCGCAGTGCGTGCTGGCCTTCGACGTGGTCAGCTTCTCGCAGGAGCAGTTCCGGCTGGTGCACGTGGAGGTGGAGGTGAGGGACGTCAACGACCACGCACCGCGCTTCCCTCGGGCCCAGATCCCCGTGGAGGTGTCCGAGGGCGCGGGGGTGGGCACGCGCATCCCCCTGGAGGTGCCGGTGGACGAAGACGTGGGGCCTAACGGTCTGCAGACCATGCGCCTGACCGAGCCAAACAGCCCCTTCCGCGTGGAGCTGCAGACGCGCGCGGACGGCGCCCAGTGTGCAGATCTGGTGCTGCTGCAGGAGCTGGACCGAGAGAGCCAGGCCGCCTACAGCCTGGAGCTGGTGGCCCAGGACGGCGGCCGCCCACCGCGCTCTGCCACCGCAGCCCTCGCCGTGCGCGTGCTGGACGCCAACGACCACAGCCCGGCCTTCCCCCAGGGCGCCGTGGCCGAGGTGGAGCTGGCGGAGGACGCGCCCGTGGGCTCGCTGCTGCTGGACCTGGACGCGGCCGACCCGGACGAGGGCCCCAACGGTGACGTGGTGTTCGCCTTTGGCGCGCGCACCCCGCCGGAGGCGCGCCGCCTCTTCCGGCTCGACCCGCGCTCGGGCCGCCTCACTCTGGCGGGGCCGGTGGACTTCGAGCGCCAGGACACCTACGAGCTGGACGTGCGGGCGCAGGATCGTGGTGCTGGGCCGCGCGCTGCCACCTGCAAGGTCATAGTGCGCATCCGCGACGTCAACGACAACGCTCCCGACATCTCCATCACTCCTCTGGCCGCCCCGGGCGCTCCAGCCGCCTCGCCCTTTGCAGCCGCCGCTGCCGCCGCTGCCCTCGGGGGTGCGGACGCCACCTCGTCGGCGGGCCCCGGGACGCCTGAGGCCGGAGCCACCTCGCTGGTGCCGGAGGGGGCGGCGCGAGAGAGCCTGGTGGCGCTGGTCAGCACCTCGGACAGGGACTCGGGCGCCAACGGGCAGGTGCGCTGCGCCCTCTACGGGCACGAGCACTTTCGGCTGCAGCCAGCCTACGCTGGCAGCTACCTGGTGGTGACCGCGGCGTCCCTAGACCGCGAGCGCATCGCCGAGTACAACCTGACGCTGGTGGCGGAGGACCGTGGCGCGCCTCCGCTGCGCACCGTGAGGCCCTACACCGTGCGAGTGGGCGACGAGAACGACAACGCGCCACTCTTCACGCGGCCAGTCTATGAGGTGTCGGTGCGCGAAAACAACCCGCCCGGGGCCTACCTGGCCACGGTGGCCGCCCGGGACCCAGACCTGGGCCGCAACGGCCAGGTCACCTACCGCCTGCTAGAGGCCGAGGTGGGCCGCTCCGGGGACGCCGTGTCCACCTATGTCTCTGTGGATCCGGCTACCGGGGCTATTTACGCGCTGCGCAGCTTCGACTACGAGATGCTGCGCCAGCTTGATGTGCGCATCCAGGCCAGCGACAGTGGCACTCCTCAGCTTTCCAGCAGTGCGCTGGTGCAAGTGCGCGTGCTGGATCAGAACGACCACGCGCCGGTCCTGGTGTACCCCGCGCCAGCCAACGGCTCCCTAGAAGTAGCAGTCCCTGGGCGCACTGCAAAGGACACGGCTGTGGCGCGCGTGCAGGCCCGGGATGCAGACGAGGGCGCCAACGGGGAGCTGGCATTCGACCTGCAACAGCAGGAGCCACACGAAGCCTTCTCCATAGGCCGCCGCACGGGGGAGATCATGCTCACCGGAGACCTCTCACAGGAGCCTCCGGGCCGCGTCTTCAGAGCTCTGCTAGTCATATCCGACGGCGGCCGCCCGCCTCTCACCACCACTGCCACTCTTAGCTTCGTGGTGACAGCAGGCGGCGAGCGCGGGCCGGCTGAGCCTGCCAGTGCCCGAAGCCCTGAGCACTCCCGCCCTCCTGGCTCTCGGCTCGGGGCTTCGGGGCCTGCTCTGCAATGGGACACGCCGCTGATCGTCATCATTGTGTTGGCCGGAAGCTGCACGCTGCTGCTGGCCGCCATCATCGCCATCGCCACCACCTGCAACCGCCGCAAGAAGGAGGTGCGCAAAGGGGGGGCCCTCCGGGAAGAGCGGCCCGGGGCGGCGGGCGGCGGAGCCTCTGCTCCCGGCTCCCCGGAGGAGGCCGCCCGGGGATCTGGGCCCAGGCCCAACATGTTCGACGTGCTCACCTTCCCTGGCAGCGGCAAAGCGCCCTTTGGCAGCCCCGCGGCCGACGCGCCCCCACCCGAGGTCGCTGCGGCTGAAATGCCGGGCTCGGAGGGCGGCAGCGCCACTGGGGAAAGCGCCTGTCACTTCGAGGGGCAGCAGCGGCTCCGCGGCGCGCACGCCGAGGTGAGGCCTTCCTTCAGCTGGGCGCCCCCCTCCGTGCTCCGCGGACAGGCTGGGGGAAGGAAGATTGGAAGTGTATGGGGTGGGTTCTCTCAGGGGGACGCTTAACCTGTCGCGCTTGCTTTTTGTTTCTTGTCCAACCCTCCCACCCCTTCCCCGTTCCCTGCTGCAGCCCTACGGTGCCTCCCCGGGCTTCGGAAAGGAGCCAGCGCCCCCTGTGGCCGTCTGGAAGGGACATTCATTCAACACCATCTCTGGCCGAGAAGCGGAGAAGTTCAGCGGCAAAGACAGCGGCAAAGGGGACAGTGATTTCAACGACAGCGATTCCGACATCAGCGGGGACGCTCTGAAAAAGGATCTCATCAACCACATGCAGAGTGGTGAGGACTCTTCTTCCCTGCCTGCTTCGGTACTCCTCTCTCCCTCCCCTACTGGCCTCCCAGGCTCCGTGCCCAGCCCCTCCCTCTTCCCACTTCTCATTCCTCAGTTTCCTGATCCCGGCAGGCAGGCCTCACATGGTGAATTGCAAAGTGCCAAGCGGGGGCAACTCCACCACTTGAGTAAAGCACACCCACCCTCACCCCACCTCCAGCCACAAGCTTGGATGTCACCTAAGGAAGGAATTCTGCTTGTCGGGTTTTTTTCCCCAGCTTTTGTATAAGATGTCTTTGAATTCTCAAATCACACGGTTTATCTTTATACACACTTCCCTTTCCAGCCGTCCTGACCCTGGCTGACATTCTGAAGATGGAGACTTGGGTGTGTGTAATCTCAGGGATAATCATCAAGCTCTTTCCCCTTTTGTACTAGGACTGTGGGCGTGCACTGCTGAGTGCAAGATCCTGGGTCACTCTGACCGCTGCTGGAGCCCATCGTGTGGGGGACCCAATGCTCATCCCCCACCTCACCCACCAGCCCAGATGTCCACCTTCTGTAAGAGCACATCCCTGCCTCGGGATCCTCTGCGGAGGGACAATTACTACCAGGCCCAGCTTCCCAAGACAGTGGGGCTGCAGAGCGTCTACGAGAAAGTGCTGCACAGAGACTATGACCGGACAGTCAGCCTGCTCTCCCCACCCCGTCCAGGGAGGCTCCCAGACCTGCAGGAGATCGGGGTGCCCCTCTACCAGTCCCCCCCGGGCAGATACGTGTCCCCGAAGAAGGGAACCAATGAAAATGTGTAACCCTGTGCTGCATGTCTTCACACACATATACAGGTCACTCTGAGAGACCCCTAAGTTATTGACCGGTTTCAGTGTTGTATATATAAATATGCAAGATGTGCCTTAATATGAAGTTGTTGGAAGCTATTTCCAATCACATTGGTACTGTTTGGTATTTGCAAACAAAAAGACAATGTAGTTTATGTAATTTTTATGAAATGTGTGCCGTATTTAATTATTCTTATCATGCTATTGACTTTAATTTCAATTGCAGCTTGCCATTTTCTTAGTGTTTTTAACCTGTACATTGTGTAATGTAATGTTTGTATATAATGAAATTTTGTTATATTTTTATATAATAAAAGCTAAAGTGGAAGTTGTTGCCAAAGGAACTGTCTGTAGGACAAAAAACAAAACACATTGGAATTACTTAATGGAAATTTATCTTTCACCAGAAACAACCTAGTGTTTGAGAAATTTTGCCTTGCCAAGTATAACTTGTATACCTTGAGTCTGTGGTAGATTTCAAGTTCAATGTTATTTAATTATATTTGGTTTTCTGTAAGCCGTGTCACTTATAAGCACAGTAATAAAGGATTTGTCATGTGTTTGAAGAATCTGCTAATTGCTTTTCATGAAGTTGCCTATAGTCAGACATTCACAATAATTTCAATACCAGAATTAAATCTTCCATCAAGTGCTAATTATTTGGGCATTATAAATGTTTGTGGCAATGTTGAAGCTGTGGGATTTCAAGTATAGCAAAATCTCATCTAAGTATTAAAAATATTTGTTGGGCTGGAGATATAGCTCAGTGTAGAGTGCTTGTCTAGAAAGCTTTCACCAGAGTGATTCCTGGGTTCGATCCCCAGTAACTGGGCACAAAACACACACACATGCACATGCACTGGCTTTGTTAAAAATGTAGATCTCTATATACATTGGTGACTATAAAATCCCTGCCCTCATTTATTGACTCACCAAAACTTACCAAGCATCAGCCAAAAAGTGGAAGAAAGCTAAGTTTGTGTTGTTCACTGAGTAAATGTTTGTAGAGATTTCGCCAGTGACCAGTCACTTTTATCAGCTGGGGTTTGAGGTGAAGAAAACTATCTCAAGCAGCTTATTAGGATGTTAGCATTAAAAAGACTCAAAGGAACTGGGGCTGATGTTTGGTGGCAAAGCACTTACCTAGCATGTGCAAGGACCTGAGTTCAATCCCCAGTATTACTCAAAAAGGAGACAAATTTATGAGTGAAATGACATGATGCTTGAGATTCGCTTTAAAATATTCTAGAGAAAAAAAAATATGGAGCTAAATCAGGTATAATAGCACACACCTGTAATCCCAGCTGCCCTGAAGGCTGAGGTAGGAGGATTGCACAATTTAGTGAAACTCTACCTCAAAGTAAAATAAAAGAAGGGATTGGGCATGTTGCTCAGTAATAGAGCTCTTTCCTAACATTCATGAAGCCCTGGGTTCGAATCTCAGCACCAGCCAGGGGTGGTGGAGAATGCCTGTGATCCCAGCATTGGGAAGCTGAGGCAGGAGGGTCACTAGGAGTGTGAGGCCAGCCTGGGCTACAAAATGAGTTCAAGGCCAGCCTGAACTACATCCTGAGAACCTGTCTCAAAACACCAAAAAGAGAGTGACAGAGAGAGAGAAATTATATGAAATAAGACTTGATCAACTACTGATAATTATAAATGGTAGCATGTGGGAGTAAGGAAATTACACCAGTCTCTTTGTGTTTGGAAATACATACAACAGAAACTTTGAAAAAACACTCAAATGCCGGGCATGGTGGCGCATGCCTGTAATCCCAGCACTTGGGAGGCTGAGGCAGAAGGATTGCCACAAATTCAAGGTCAGCCTAGGCTACATAGTGAGTTCAAGGCCAGCCTGAACTGCATAGCAAGAGCTTGTCTCAAAATAAATAAATAAATAAATAAATAAGAAAGAAGGAAAAAGACATTCAAGAGACCCATTCCTAGGACTTCTGTACATTTCATGTGAAAATAAAATGATAATAATGACAGCTAAGTGCACCAAGCTAGCTTTTATATGAGCAGAACTCTTTGCAAAGTCCTCTGCATGAATTATCTCATTTAATCTTCAGATTACTTCCATGTGATAGGAATTGTCACTAACGCCATTTTGCAGATAGAGAAACTGAGGCATGAGAAAGATAGAGGAAATGCTGAAAATCACACAACTAATAAGTGGCCAGGGTGAGATTCAAACCTAGATTATTCAGGACCAAAAAAAAAAAGAAACAGTGAAAGAGGTTGTGGGGTTATTCTTTTTTACTTGAAAGAAACAAAGAGATGGGAAAATCTCCAGTGCCTCACCTTTACTGGCTGATTATTGTTTAGCCTTTTATATTTGTGAAGTCCTGTGCTCCTTTCTTACTAATTATAGAGTGTGGGGCACTGTAATGAATAGAGGAGCCCTTAACACTGCCTGTTGAAGTCGTTACTGAAACCAGTGGTGGCTCCAAGCTGAACAGCAGGTTGGGCACACACAAGTGCCTCACCTCCCACAGCCTGTGCAAAGTGCAGTGGTTTCTGAGGCCAACTGACCTGCACAGGCACCTGACGACCTTGGACTCCCCAGAGTTCAGGTTTTGAAACAAAATATAGGCTGTGAGCAGGTTACCAGATGGCTCCAGAGCCAGGATGACCAGGCCCCAGGAGAAGGACCCCCAAGTAGGCCTTCCATTATAGCATTTACTGACGTTCCCTCTTGAGTCAGTCCCATCAGATGCAGAACAGAGGAATGAATGGTGGATCCCACCTACTATGCAATCTAAAACTATCCAGTCTCACCCGGCATGGTGACCCACGACTGTCATCCCAGCACTTAGAAGGCTGAGGCAGGAGGATCACTGTGAATTCGAGGCCAGCCTGAGCTACATAGAGAGTTCAAGGCCAGTCTGAAATACTTAGCAAGACCCTGTCTCAAAAAAAAAGCCTTCA